AAGTGAGCAGCATTCAATAAAATGGTCGTTTTCCCACAAGGGCTGCATTAGGGCTCCAAGGGGGCACAGGAGGGACAGGGAGTATTGGCATTTTGCCCTTTTCTCATCTAGATGGTATATTTCATTTCAAAATTTGTGTCCACAAAGAACAAATGGTTCAATTCAGAATTTCAAGGCCAACTTCTAAAAAATACTACAACTGAAAAATAATGAATAAGCTCTGCCAGGATGAGGCCTCAGCTTCTACAGTGTTGCAAAAATCATTAAAGTATGAAAATGGAAAGTACAGTAAACCCTGCTAACTGCCTGCTTGTTCCTGAGGTTTGCAGTCTAGTAACTCTTAACAGTCACAGATTTACGGGTGATAGGTGAGAGGTCATAACATATTTTGTTTTAACTTTTTGGTTGATTAATTTAGATAAGTGTTAACAATTGTTAGATTACCAAGCAGTGCTTGTAGCATTGTTTCTTTTTTTGAGGTATTAGTATTTGATATTACAGTTTCAATGGTGTGTACAGAAATTCTAATTTCACCAAGAAGTTACATTTGTCAATTGTACAAACACCGTTTATCATTACAGTTAATTTATTATCTTGCTCTGGTGCCTCTAAAACTTTGAAACTAAAAGGCATTTTTTCCCCCTGGTCATAAATGCCTCTTTCAGAATGATATGTTCCCCTTTTGGAAGGCTCCAGGTACTTTTTAATAAATGATTTGTTCTAGTAAACTTCAAGTGCTTTTTAGATAAGAGTTCCATAATAGCTAGGATACAAGGACTGTTTTGGGCTCCTTTCTTTCCAGAAGGCAAAGCAAAATAATTTAATTATTGTTCCTTATAGAAGATGGCTGTCCATTTAAAAAAACAAAATGCAACAACTTCATGTCATTCATTAAACAGTTATTGATTGCTTACTATATACCAACAAGTACAATGCTGAGCATCAGATATTTCTTTTGTCAGTATAGATTAGATGTCATTTCTTTTTAGTTGAACTATAGAATATGATTATCTCAAACAGCTTTTCCTTTTTTATTTCATTGTTTATAATTTTGGCTATTTTAAAGAATAAGCCAAATAGAATACATAAATTCTTTTTTAAAGCTCAATCAGCCAAAATTTTTCATGGTTTAAACTAATAGGATCAGAGTGAGTTCAAGTCTGTTGACACCTACTGAAAGCAAGGGTCAAAATAAAAGCTATTTTAAGGTTTCTGGATTAATGGTAAAAGAAATGAAAAATAATAAGGCAATCTGTAATGGATAATTAAACCAAATATATGATTATTCTAATTTCCAAAATAGGTAATACATTAAAGCAGATGAGATCTGTATTACTGATAATTAAATCTGTGTTACTACAGAAAATATGAGAATAAAAATTATTTTTTAATGTAAAATACACTTTCTATTAGTAGTACTCTAAATTAAACAAATATTTTCATCCATAATCTATCTTTTGAGATTTCTATAATCTTTAACAATTCTCATCTTATGTGACTCTTACTTTGTACAGAACTGTCAGGCTTTAAATTATTTGAGGTGAAGCAATGTAATTTGCACAACTTATTTTCTAAACTGTTGGCTGATCTTCAAGGACAGGTCGGTCAACAACCTCCAGAAATGTAAAAGACAGTATATTAATTTGCACCCAGGAACAACCTCCAGTACAGCAGAGACCAAAGGTATGAAGTAATTTCATCATTATTAAAAGAATGTCATTACTTTTTTCTCTTTTTTTCTTCTGAAAGTGAGGCACTGGATACTAATTAATGAAATATTATGAAGATAAATGGTTTGGTTATGTTACCAGAAGTGTACCAAATTATGTGGTTTCAAATATTAATCTTTTTTGAGTAAAAAAATTCACAGTCAAGGAACCAAATTGACTCACAAGACTATGCCAAAACATTCACACCTTTCTCTGTGAGGCTGAGTACCTCCAGTTCTTCAAAGGTCTCTGTCTCCAAAGTAGTGACAGAATTCAAAGAGATATCAAATACTCCTGATGGTTTATTGCTCACCTCTAAGAACACTGCAAGTGAGTTCAGTATTTATAGGAGGTGCAAGAGTGCAAATGAGAACCAATTCCCAAAAAGTAGAGTAAATTGCTCTAGTATGGTCTACTGGTTACCAAGACACAGTCATCAATTAATGCTGATTAGACACAAATGTAGATGTAGAAGCAGAACTTCTTAATGTATCCTCTAGCACTAACTTCTATTTTTCCTTCTCCTCTTCTAATGTAACAATCCCACTACTGTAGACAATTCACATTGTAAACAGAAAACCAACAGACCAACCGACTAAAACAAACTTCCTACTAAAAGTAAAAACGTTAATGAGAAATTCTGCATAGCCATTGATTCATATTATTTCCCTTCCTGTTAATGTGATTTCTGATCAATCTGTGGACCAGAAGAGTATAATCTGAGTATTTACTCGGTTGGTTATACAACAGTACTGTGCATTTCCAGATACACTTCCTACTGCAGTCAATTCTATGCTCAGAAAAGCACATCTACTAAGACTTGAAGATGAAAAAGATGACATTTTTGAGTACTTTATCAAAAATCTATATAGCAACTCAGATACAATTATGTTATTGTTTGAAAAATCATCTACTTTTCTTACTTCTCCCAAGTTCAAACCAACTGAAGGTTATGAAGCAACCACTTCCCCCAGAAGCCAAACTTTCACCTCCTCTGAGCAGAGAAATACCTCTCATAAATTAGGTAAAAATAAGGTCTTGCTAATGGAAAGATCGTCCAAGATTCATGTAGCTGTCAATTCCATATCTATACCTTTTATCTACCACAATTTGCAATCCCTGAAAGTCAAGGTAGTAACTTACTTCATCAATTATCTGCAAGTCTAAAAGTGTGGTTAAAGCAACCTGCACAAATATTAGTTTCTCAAATTACTTCAATTTGTTTCCAGGAACAATAGCAAGAGAAATGTAAGGAATATGATGACTAAATCTAAAATTCTGTCTATTTCAGATTAATTGTGCTTTAATCAACTCAATCATCACAGATCTTGTTTAAGAGGTAGAGTAAAAAGGAAGTGCAAAGATCAAAGCAATGCTTACAAAGGGGAAGGACTATTTTTGTATGTATAGCCCCATATTTACTACCTGGGTTTGAAAAACAGGGGCATTTACTCAGCACAAGTGAGTACCAATACAGAACATAAGAAATTTCAAAAAACAAAAACAAAAACAACAACAACAAAAAAACCAGATTTTCAAATCACCACCAACCCAGGATTATAGTTTTCTTTACAAAGTCTCAAAGAGTTTAGAAGTGGTTTTCCACTGCAAGCAGCACTAATAAACACACATATAACATGTGTTCCTTTGTGTTCAAGTTTGTCCAGCAGGCTGTAGCCCAGGAAGACATTTTATCTAAACAAGCAGGGGAGGGTATTTAGGAATTGCAGGTATATTAATATGGATGAATAATCTCAGATTTCATGTCTCTATTAATTGTATAAGCTCTTTTCATTTTAGTAATTCAATTAAATCATGAATGTAAAATTCTACAAGAAACAAATCTTTTTTCTTCCTGCTTTCCCAAGTTTATAAACTCAAAAAAGTACTCTGCTTCAAATTTAAATACATACATTTAAATACATAATTCCTATAGTGCCTCAAACAGTAAAAGAATTCATCTCTAGAAAGCACAGTATTAAAATCAGGAAAAAAAAAACATACTTCAGTTTTAAGTTTCCCTTTTAAAGTTTTAACAAACAGGAATGCACTTTAAACTGCTTGACAATATTCAGTTGTGGGATTCTGCTAGAAAAAACGTATTGAACATCATGACCCCAACCTTTAGTATTTACTAAAGATCACCAGTGTGTAGAATATTTTGGTGTCAGAGCTATTCAATGTTTTTAGTAATACCATAAGCATTTCTCAGATTATGAGCATTACAACAAAATATTTGAGTTAAATACAGTTAGTTCATAAACTGTAATGCTGAAAACCTCTATTTAAGACATTTAAATGTCTTAAATCTTGATAATTAAATCCTGTATCATTAAATCCCATTTGAGTTTCAGGATAGACCAGTAAGTCAGGGCAAACATCCCCTGGTGTGTGTTTTTAAGGACCATAGGAAAACTTACATTTAGCTTAGGCGTTGTTTTTACATTACTTTTTGTTTCGGAGGTCATGCACAATGCATGGTGACTCTGTCCAAGAGTTTTACATAATGAAGTCTAAAAAGTGTTCTAAGTTTGCAAGTAGGTAATATATTTTCTCTCTCAAGTGCCAGGCCCCGGAGAATCAGAATCAAGTCCTATAGCAGGTGACTATATAGTGTGTGTGGTGGAGAGGTGGGGGGCTGGGGGAAAGGGGAGGGGGGGGAAGGGGGGAGGGACAGGCTTCTTTTAGAAGTAGGAGAGGGATGAATAGACTCTCCTATTCAATTCTGGGGAGCTGGAGAGGGCTTTCCCAGCCAAGAGGACTGACAAGGACTTCTGCTTTCATTTCATGGAACGCCCTTAGGTGAAATCTGGTTCTGCACTGCACCAACCACCTTCCCTCTCTCCTCCGTGCTGCAGCGCACCTCAGCCTTCTCACCATCCCCCAGCTGGGGCTGGGGCTGGGGATTTTAAAAGTTTGTAAGAGTTCTCCTTCGGTTCGCGTTCCCGCCCCGCGGAGGGGACGTGAACAGAAATGACCGACCAGGGGCCACGGCCCTTCGGCCGACTAACCCCTGCGAGGTCCGGATGCGCGGAGGGTGAAGAGAAATGACCGCCCCGCGGCCGCGGCCCTTCGGCTGACTAGCCCTTGCGAGGTCCGGATGTGCCTTTCCCCGCTGTCGCCAATCCCATGTGCCTCCCAGCTACTGTCAACCTTCTCCCACGGTCTGGCCCAGCGGATAGCGCAGGAATAAGGAAGTCCGAGTGGGGCCGGAGGGGTGCGGAGGGCTGGGTGGCGGGACTCGGGCCACGCGTCCCCTGCCGGGCCCCCACTCGCCCGAGTTTGGCTTACCCGGGTGGCGAGTCAGCGTTCGGCCTCCTGTCGCGGGTGGGCTCTCCCTCCTGGGAGGCGCGGGCCTACGAGCCGGAGAAGGAAGAGGCGGCGGCCGGCCGGAGCCCGAGCGGGCCCGGGTGCGGGTAGGGGCGAGCGAGAGCGCAGCGGGGCCAGGCTGGGCCGGTCAGCGCCGCGCCATGTCCGCAGCGCGGGCGGAGGGAAGCGCAGGGCGCGCTGTGGCCGGGCGGCGGCGCCGCCTTCCTGGCCGGGCGGCTGCGGCCTCGGCGGCGCTGGGCTCCGGGAGCGGGGCTGGCGGCGGCGTGCAGGCCGAGGGCGGCGGCGGCTGGCGGCCCGACCGACGGGAAGGGCAGGGGAAGCTGTCAGCGCGTCGCCGGGCCGCTCCGGTGGCGAAACCTCCTCTTCCTGCCCCGGCTCGCTGGTGCACTTCTCTCTCTTTCTCTGTCGCTCACTCTCTCACTTCCTGGCTGGAAATTCCCACTGACGTCGAGAGAGCATACAGACAGACGGACACACGCGCGCACGCAGCGGGGGCGGGAGGTGGGGTCGCTGGCGGGGGTGGGGGAAGCCCGCATTTATGGGAGCGCCCTGCGCCCCCGGCCCGGCCTCGCTTCTGGGTTCGGCTCCCGCCCCTCGGGGCCGCTTCGGGGCCGCTTCGGGGCGCGGGGCTAGGGGCGCGCGTTAGGCGGCCAGGACGCTCCGGTCCCCTGTAGGGCTCTGGCTTCCCAGCCGGGCGCTCCCGAACCCCGAGGGCTGGAGCCGGTAGGGACGCCCCCAGGAAGCGCCTGCCAGGCCCGCTGGTTCGGGAACGCAGGCGGCGCGGAGGCGGCGGCCGTGCAGCTGATAGAGTCATGCGGTCCAGAGACCCTAAGGGCAGGCCCGAGCAGCTGGAGGGTCGGCATGGATCCAAGCATACCAGATATAAAAATAAAGCTCATCCGTATATTCCATTTAAGTGTGTCTCAGTTACACTCAAATCTCTTTGCAGATTAAACTGGAATTTAGATATCATAACCGACTTGTGTCCAGTGAAGTAACCTCTACTGCTTCTGGTGCAGTCTTAAATCTCCTGGTTATAGGACACTTACTCAGAACATTCATCTACAGGATATTGTTAGGCCTTTATGATAATTACTGTGGATAGAATTGTAGTGATGGTGGTAGGAATGTATTTGGTTCACAGCTCATAAAATACTGATCTGGCAGAGGGGAGTTTTCTTTTTCTCTGAAGAGACTGCTACTGGCACCCACAGACAGGCCTCCCAGTGGCCACCACCATTCACTGGCATCTGAACTGCTTTAGTGTTGGGCATTGTACTAGGCACAGGCTGGGGATAACTTGGTGGTGAACTACCGCCCCACATAAGACATCTTGAGCCGAAATAGATATTTTTTTTTTTTTTTTTTTAATTGCATTTTAGGTTTTGGGGTACATGTGATGAACATGCAAGATTGTTGCATAGGTACACACATGGCAGTGTGCTTTGCTGCCTTCCGTCCCCTCACCTGTATCTGTCATTTCTCCCCATGCTATCTCTTCCCACCTCCCCACCCCCCGCCCCTCCCCCATTTCCCCCCAACAGACCCCAGTGTGTAGTGCTCCCCTCCCTGTGTCCATGTGTTCTCATTGTTCAACACCCGCCTATGAGCGAGAATATACGGTGTTTGATTTTCTGCTCTTGTGTCAGTTTGCTGAGAATGATGGTTTCCAGGTTCATCCATGTCCCTATAAAGGACGTGAACTCATCGTTTTTGATGGCTGCATAATATTCCATGGTGTATATGTACCACATTTTCCCTATCCAGTCTATCATCGTTGGGCATTTGGGTTGGTTCCAGGTCTTTGCTATTGTAAACAGTGCTGCAATGAACATTCGTGTGCACGTGTCCTTGTAGTAGAATGATTTATAATCCTTTGGATATATACCCAGTAATGGGATTGCTGGGTCAAATGGGATTTCTATTTTTAGGTCCTTGAGGAATCGCCACACTGTCTTCCACAATGGTTGAATTAATTTACATTCCCACCAACAGTGTAAAAGTGTTCCTATTTCTCCACATCCTCTCCAGCATCTGTTGTTTCCCGATTTTTTAATGATCGCCATTCTAACTGGTGTGAGATGGTATCTCAATGTGGTTTTGATTTGCATTTCTCTGATGACCAGTGATGATGAGCATTTTTTCATATGTTTGTTGGCCTCCTGTATGTCTTCTTTTGTAAAGTATCTGTTCATATCCTTTGCCCATTTTTGAATGGGCTTGTTTGTTTTTTTCTTGTAGATCTGCTTTAGTTCTTTGTAAATTCTGGATATCAGCCCCTTGTCAGATGGGTAGACTGCAAAAATTTTTTCCCATTCTGTTGGTTGCCGATTCACTCTACTGACTGTTTCTTTTGCCGTGCAGAAGCTGTGGAGTTTGATTAGGTCCCATTTGTCTATTTTGGCTTTTGTTGCCATTGCTTTTGGCGTTTTGGTCATGAAGTCCTTGCCTACACCTATGTCCTGAATGGTTTTGCCTAGATTTTCTTCTAAGGTTTTTATGGTATTAGGTCTGATGTTTAAGTCTTTAATCCATCTGGAGTTAATTTTGGTGTAAGGTGTCAGGAAGGGGTCCTGTTTCTGCTTTCTGCACATGGCTAGCCAGTTTTCCCAACACCATTTATTAAACAGGGAGTCCTTTCCCCATTGCTTGTGTTTGTCAGGTTTGTCGAAGATCAGATGGTTGTGGGTATGTTGTATTTCCTGTGAGGGCTCTGTTCTATTCCATTGGTCTATATCTCTGTTTTGGTACCAGTACCATGCTGTTTTGATTACTGTAGCCTTGTAGTATAGTTTGAAGTCCGGTAGTGTGATGCCTCCCGCTTTGTTCTTTTTGCTTAGAATTGACTTGGCTATGCGGGCTCTCTTTTGGTTCCATATGAAGTTTAAGGTGTTTTTTTCCAGTTCTGTGAAGAAGGTCATTGGTAGCTTGATGGGAATAGCATTGAATCTGTAAATTACTTTGGGCAGTATGGCCATTTTCACGATGTTGATTCTTCCTAACCATGAACATGGAATGTTTCTCCATCTGTTTGTATCCTCTCTTATTTCGTTGAGCAGTGGCTTGTAGTTCTCCTTGAAGAGGTCCTTTACGTTCCTTGTTAGTTGTATTCCTAGGTACTTTATTCTCTTTGTAGCAATTGTGAATGGCAGTTCGTTCTTGATTTGGCTCTCTTGAAGTCTATTACTGGTGTATAGGAATGCTTGTGATTTTTGCACGTTGATTTTGTATCCTGAGACTTTGCTGAAGTTGTTTATCAGTTTCAGGAGATTTTGGGCTGAGATGATGGGGTCTTCCAGATATACAATCATGTCATCTGCAAATAGAGACAATTTGATTTCCTCCTTTCCAATTTGGATACCCTTTATTTCTTTTTCTTGCCTGATTGCTCTGGCTAGAACTTCCAGTACTATATTGAATAGGAGTGGTGAGAGAGGGCATCCTTGTCTAGTGCCAGATTTCAAAGGGAATGCTTCCAGTTTTTGCCCATTCAGTATGATATTGGCTGTTGGTTTGTCGTAAATAGCTTTTATTGTTTTGAGATACGTTCCGTCAATACCTAGTTTATTGAGGGTTTTTAGCATAAAGGGTTGTTGAATTTTGTCAAAAGCCTTCTCTGCATCAATCGGATATTTTAGAGCTCATTGTTTAACTACTGGGTCGAGTGACAACTGAAAGCTTAGCTTTAAAACATCAGTAATCCGGTCCGCACCAGGCAATGTCGCAGTGGCATTTAGATTGCTTATGGCATGTTCATCCTAGTCCCTTTCATGCCCACTTTCTGTCCTCCTTCTCCACTAGGTCATAAGAACCTTCTTGGTGGATTGTTTTTCTGGAAAAAAACAAGACAAAACAAACAAACAAAAAAAAACAGGGATCCATTTCATTGCCTATGAGGTGAGCCTCGGAGGTGACCTTGAAACCACCCAGCAGTCGACCTTTAAGAGATCTCATTTAGCTCCCAGAGGCTGAGCAGGTGGGATTCAGAGGATTCATAATGATTGAACACAACGACTTTTAAAGAAATTCTGTGGACCAGGCGGGATGGCTCACATCTGTAATCCCAGCACTTTGGGAGGACAGGGAGGGCGGATCAGCTGAGGTCAGGAGTTTGAGACCAGTCTGACCAACTTGGTGAAATCCCGTCTCTACTGAAAATACAAAAATTAGCCGGGCGTGGTGGCGGGCACCTGTAATCCCAGCTACTCGAGAGGCGGAGGCAGGAGAATCGCTTGAACCCAGGAGGCAGAGGTTGCAGTGAGCCGAGATGGTGCCACTGCACTCCAGCCTGGGCATGACAGAGCAAGACTAAAACAAGAAAAGAAAAGAATTTCTGTGTTATTATTTATGGGACAATATTAGAAATTGTGCCAATACTACAGTAGATTGAAATACAGTTTATGTAAAACGATTTTTGCTGGTGACGTGAGTAAAAAGTCTGCAAGCTCTCATGAAACAACAAAGTGTGAGGGGAGTGGGTTCCCCCACTTTTGGAGGTGTGAGCATACACACTCTACTTTTCATTCTGCAAGGTGTGGCAGCCCCATTGCCAGAAAATAGATAAATAGAATTGTTGCAAGAGTACAGTCACTGTGACATATATGGGGGGAAAATGAAGAGTGTTAATTACTGAAAAAGATTAACTCAAACTCCAAACTCAAAATGATCCCATAAAATGAACTTAAAATAGAGGGTAAGGTGTTAAGCAGGCGTATTAGTTTCCTGGGGCTGCTGTAAAAGGTACCATTGACTAGATGGCATACAATGGGAATTTATTCTGTCACAGTCCTGGAGCCTAAAATTCTGAACTCAAGGTGCCATCAAGGCCATGCTGCCTCTGAAGGCTCTAGGGAAGAATCCTTTGGCTCTTCCTAGCTTCTGGTGGTTCCAGCAATCCTTGGCATTCTTGGCTTGGCTGCAACACTCCAATCTGTGCCTACATTGTCACATGGTCTCCTTCCCTGTGTTTCCTTTGTGTTACTATATTCAAATTTCCCTAACCTTTCTTTTATGAAGACACCAGTCATTGGATTTAGAGCCCACCCCAATCCAGCATCACCTCATCTTAACTTGGTAACATTTTGCAAAGATTCTATTTCCAAATAAACTCATGTTCACAGGTACCTGTGCTTAGGACTTGAAAATATGTTTTGGGGGGATGTAATTTCATGCACCACAGCAGACAAAACTATAAAAGCCTTCAGTTCACTCTTTTTGGCTCTCTGACTAACCTTCCTCCATTCCTTCTTTGTTGCTCAACATCTTCTCTACACTCTGTATAAACCTGCTTCTAGGAATATTTCTTACAAATTCATCCATCCTAAGGTGTCAGAAAGTATTTACCATTATCAGGCTACAAAGAGAAAATAAAAAATGCCTCAATGTGGAATTTCAGGCATCAATATTGCCTAAAAGACATGTTATATGGTGTTTGTCACTTGTCTTAGTTCATTTGTGTTGCTATGGCAGAATACACAAGACTGGGGAGTTTATAATGAAAAGAGGTTTATGAGGCTCACAGTCTGCAGACTGTACAAGAAGCATGGCGCCAGCATCTGCATCTGGTGAGGATCTCAGACTGCTTTCCCTCTGGAAGGCAAAGGCGAGTGGTGTGTGCAGAGATCATAAGGTGAGAGAGAGGGGAGAGGTACCAAACCTTTTAGCAACCAGCTCTCATGGGAACGAATACAGTGAGAACTCACACATCCTCCCCTCCCTGCAGGGAAGAATATCAATCTGTTTGTGAGGGATCCACCTCTATGACACAAACATCTCCCATTAGGCCCCACCTCCAAA